TATATATATACTATATGACTACTCTGCGTCTGTATCACCGGTGCACAGCCCTGGCAGTCGAAGACTTTCATTGTGGAATGTCATTCAAACGGATCCGGTTGAATGCGAACTGCCCAATGCCTTTGAAACCACAAATGCTTCAATGACTTTCAGTGATAGGATCTCAAGGCGCGCACTGACACGCCGGATAAGAAAGCAGCAGTAAACCAGCGCGAAGCACACGCCGACTGCGTTTTCAGTGACGACCAAGCGCAACAGAGTGGACGCGCATTTTCTGGTAAACGACAAAGAATCATGTTGCACTATACTTAGAAGCAAAGCAGTGCTTCTGGCAGTTTGTGAACATAACCTTTTATCACATTATATCTTATTCTTGTCGTATTTGACGGTATTAAAGATTCTGCCTTTTTGATTATATGAATAGTATACATTATATACATAAATATATACATCATCATATTATACATTACTAATATACTATATATATATATATATATATATATAGATATATATATATATATAGATGATATATATAATGAACACACTAAACACGACAATCATTGACAAGAAATTTTGATATTTTTAACGCCACGGTGTTTATTATTTATGTTACTTACTGCCATTCGCGTTCCCTTCTTCTCGCCGCAGTATCTTAGCAGGGACTGTGTGACGAGCGCCTGAATCGCCAGAAAGCCCTCCTCTGCGTATGGCGGGGTCGGTCCCCAGATCTGCACACACACATCATGCACTTCTTAGGAGCGCCCACAGCCGGGTTCGCAGTCACCATGTTCCTGGTTCTCATGGAAAGCTGGTGACTTCTAGTTTTATATTTGAGTTTGATTCGCAATTAATTTATCTTGCAATAAAGCTGCAGCAATAGTAATCCACTACCTAATTTGTTTCACAGTTTCTGTTATGTGGGCACTTCTCGATAACAGGACAGAATTCGTGATTAGGAAAGGAAAATAACAGAACTAAGCAATTGAAATAGAATGGATAAAAATGATTTTTTTTTAAGTAAAGAAGTATAATAGATAAAAGTTATAACCCTGAAACTATCACTTCGTTGTCGTCATCAAGTCCTTCTTCACTCACCCGCTCACGCAAGCGACCTCTGACGGACTGAGTACACTATCATTTATTTATAGTGGCGCCTGAAGGTCACGAGCTGGACGGAGAGGGGGGCACTGTCATCCAATCGGTAGCTCCAATACCAAAAATTGAAATCGTATCGAAGCTCCCGATTGGATGACAGACCCCCCCCCCTCGCTGTCCAGCTCGTGATCTTGAGGCGCCACTATAAATAAATGAAAGTGTAAGTCCACCTCTATATAAACCTCGGATCATCTCTGTTTAAATCGTAGTATACCCCAACCGCCGAGAGAACGCCGTTAGCGTAGGCAAACCCCTCTTCTGACAACTAATACCACCCCACCAACATATGCTCTGAAATCCCCCTCGACACACCCAAAGGAAATATCCACTTGACATCCTTAAACCCCCCTCCAATAACTTAAACCAGAGAGCAGGCAGACGTGACATCGAAGTAGACACAGCGAACGACATATAACAATGAAAAAAAAGTTAAGACATTGCAATAAGCGTCACCACCACCAATAGTTTCTCCTCATCCCACTCTTTACCCCTCTTCTACCTTTGCTCCTTCCACTCCAACCCACCTTCGCCAAATTCACATCCTTCCCCGCCTTTTCCCGTCGCCCAGAACCTCTCACAAAATAACCCTTCCCCCCACCCCTCCAACACCCAGACTCCCGATCCCCGTACCCGTACGAGGAGTCGACCACCCTAGAAGAGCACTCCAATCTTCAAAACACGACCTCGAAGAGACTCCCCCCCCCC